GTCACTTTTGCTTCTCTATGTATCAATCACACTTTTTTTCAGTGGAACCATTTGAATGTAAGATGCAAGTATCATGCTGCTTCACCCCTAAATGATTCAGCATTCATTTCTCAAGAATAAGAACATTCTTCCACTCAACCACAATAACATTTTTTACACCTACAAAGTTAACAATAGTTTTATAATATTTTCTAAAAGTGGTGCATAAACAGATACCCCCAATTATCCCAGAAATGCCTTTTAATGGCTTTTTCCTAATCCGTGGTTCAAGATTTATGCATGACACATAACTGTTATTTCCCTTGACTTTTAGAATAGTTTCTTTCATATTGACTTGTTTTACTAGTTATTCTGAGAAATGTTCCACTTACTGGATTTATCCGATTGGTGTCTTATGATTAGTTACAAGTTAGACATTTTAGCAAAAATGTTTAGATGATATTATAAACTTATTGCATCACCTCATGGAGTCTGTGATGTCAGTTGTCCCACTATTTGTGATGCAATTGATAACTTGGTTAAGGTGGCAACCACTAGATCTTCCCATTATAAAGTTACACTTTCCCGTCTGTAAGTAGTAAGTAATCAACAGGTGATGCTTTGCAATCAAATGAAAAGTCTAATCTGCATGCCCTTCCACCCAGTGGTTGCAGCATCCATTTATGATCCTTGCCTAAATCTATTAATTATATTCATATGGGGGTCAAAGAATGCAAGTTTTCAAATTTTGACACTCTTTCTACCTGAATGTTTTGGCATTCTTTTCTAAAGAAAAAGCTTTTCTCCTCTCTGCCTTCCCTATTTTTCTTCCCTACTTTTTAAAAAATTGAGTAACACTGTGGACACATGGATTTCTTTATAAATTCAGTATTTTATAATCCATTACTGTAACTATTCTTTGTGATCTCAAATTTCCCAAAATTTGGAGAATGGGAACTCTTTCAAGTCAACTACCATATCTTTTTGACATAACTCTAATTGTCTTTGAACATCTCCTTATTCGCAGGCACAACATGTTTTAGGCTTACTTTAGAAGTTCCCTGCCCCAGTTCTAGAATTAGTCTTTTTTCCAAGAACCTTTTAGTAGAAAATGATATATAGAAGCCAAGAACTGGGCCACAGGTCTGCTCAATGCTAATGATGTGCCAATGCTTCTAGCCTACCAGATCATTTTAATGGACAGAGCAAGGAACACCCCCCACCACACACCCACCCCCCCCCACACACACTGAATTGTACTGCATTGGTGAATATATCACAACTTGTTTTATCCATTCACCCATTAAAGGTCATTTGGGTTGTTTCCAGTTTTGGGCTAATACAAATAAAGCTTCCATGAACACTTGTGTACAAGTCAATGTTTGGACAATGCTTTATTTTTTTCTCTTGGGTGAATACCTAGGAGTATGATGATTGGATTGTATGGTAAGTGTATGTTTAACTTTTTAAAAAATTGTCAGTTTTTCAAAGCATTTGTACTGTTTTCATTTTTACCAGCAATGTGTGAGAGTTCTGGTTCCTCAGCATCCTTGCTAGCACTTGCTTTGATTAGTCTTTTTAATTTTTAGCTATTCTAAAATAGCCATAGTGGCACCTCATTGTGATTTTAATTTACAGGACGCTATTGACTGACGTTGTTGAGCATCTCTTCATATTCTTATTTGCCACTAGTATATATTTTTTGGTGAAGTGTGTGTTTACATTTTTTAAACCTATTTTTATTGGGTAGTTTTGTTTTTATCATTGAGTTTTGAGAGTTCATATCCTTAAAGTTTAATATGCACAGTTAAACTAAACACCACTGAAGTTAATATCTTGCGTCTGCCTCCTAAACACAACTCTGACCTTGCCCTCCCTTGTTCCCGGTTTCTGTAGGTTAGAACTTTAGTTCCACTTTATTTTTATATGTGCCTTTTTATTTCTGTATTCTCCCCCACCCATCCCATCCCCTGGCCTCTTTATTCTCTACTTATGGGGCTTCAGTCAGAAGTGTTTGGCCTTTTCAATGTGTCCTTCATGTCTCTTAATTACTCTTTCATGTTTTCTGTTTCTTTATACCTCTGTTCTGCTTCCTGGGGAATTTACTCACCACAGCTACTTTCTTATTCCCTGATCTCTCTTGACTGTGGTAGGGCAACTCTTTTACCTTTCTTCTAAGTTTTTAATTTTAATAACTATATTTTCTATTTATGGAGGGTCTACTTATTTTTCAAAGTCAATGCTCTTCTCTTCCCCACCTGCATTCTGAATCAAATAAAAGGTAGATGCTAATCAGACAATGGATCAGCATTTCACCATTATTACAAATAAAGCTGCTTGGAGAACAGGGCTTGGGTTTTTGGCAACAATAGAATTATAACACTCTGCCTATAATCAAACTTGCCCTCCAGGCACAGGCATCATTAGGAAACCTGGATTCTGGTGTCAGAGCCTGTCCTCTTGAGTCTACTATATAACCTAGGGCAGATGAGAATGCATATTTTCTACAAGTAGACAGTTGCTAAAAAGGAAGAGCCAGAAGGGTTGATCTAGCTATGACCAGTAGTTCCTTCTCCCAAACTCATCAACTATAGTCATGCATACCATAATAACATTTTGGTCGATGTTGGATTGCATAGATGGTGATGGTCCCTTACAATTATAGCACCATATTTTTATTTTACTTTTCTATGTTAATTAGGTTTAGATACACAAATACCATTGTGTTACAATTGCCTTCAGTATTCAATACAGTAACCTGCTGTACAGGTTTGTAGCCCAGGAACAAGAGGCTGTACCATATAGCCTACATATGTAGTAGGCTCTACCATCTGGGTTTGTGTAAGTGCACTCTATGATGTATGCTTTAGGATGCAATTGCCTGATGACACATTTCTCAGAATATATCCCTGTTGTTAAGCAATGCATGACTGCATTTAAATCACTCATCTTCTCCAGAGTAGGAGTTGAGCAGATGAGTAAGGCCAAACATATTTTCCTAATGGAAGTTCTTCCGCGGGGAAACATTGCATGGAGAGGTGGGGTGAGGACCAGTCATCCATTCTAAGAATATCCAGGAGCTGGTGTCGCTGACTTTCATTCTCTCTTCCCTTTCTGAAACCTGGAAGTACCCTTTTTCACTTTTCAGCTAAGTTATGTATTTACAACTATTTTCAACACGTTTTCACCAACATTTCCATGTTTGAAGCCAGGAGCATCAGCTGCCATTTTGCCAGAAGTTCTTTCAGAGTTTTTTTTTTCACAAAGGAAACAGCCTATTAAGGCAATTGCTCAAGAACAGGCCTTCTTGGATCCCTTTCCAAGCTGTGTTTAGACTTTAAAGATACCATAAAATATTTCCTAACATTATTATTTCATTAACTGTAATAAAATAATTGAGTGTAAATCTCAGCATATTCAAGGGTATATTTATTTTTCTCCTGAGTTTAACAGGCAACACACTTTTAAACACATATAATAAATACAATTTGAATTGCATGCCTTATATCTTGCATGATGTCATTTGTGCTGTTATGCTTGTCTCCATTAGTCTATTGCTATACAGTAATACAGCTTTATCAAATCAAACCTTTACAATGTATTCCTTGAAGATACTTGAAAATACTTCATAGCCAATAGGTTTTTTTACACAATTGCTTTTTCAAGCAATGAATTTCTATTTAAATAAAATATAGATTTACAAAACATAGAAAATTTACAAGGCATTATAAAACAGTTGGAAAGTATGTCAAGTCTAAACTTTTGTGCATTTAGTCTAGGAAAATTTCACATCTCTCTTTCCACACCTATAAAACAAAACAGAACCAGGACTGACTTGAGAAAAGCAATTATTTATCTCTGCTGTGTCTAACTAAGGAAGCTGCCAAATGTGATCATTTGCCTGACTGGAAATTCGCATAAATGAAGAGTTTGCCATCAACTTTCCTTCAAGTAAGGAAAGAAAAACATTTCAATACAGTAATGCAAAACAAGTGGAAATTTTTATTGAACATTTACTTGGACAGGCACTGTGCAAAATTATTCCTTGTTCAACCACCTCCTCAGCTGTAACTGGTAGCACAATTCTTGACCCATTTTACAGATTAGGAAACATGAGTTTTCAGAGTTTATTGGCACTCATGTGGCTGTTACATCGTTATGATGTTTAAACGACCTACTTTATTCAAAGTCAGGTAGTACAGTCTGCTGATGGGAAATACAGTATTACCCAAGGGACTTCAAAGAAACAAGAAGATGTTTGAGTTGCACAGTGAGCTAAATTATGCAAGTTGCAGAAATCATAGGTGTATGACACCTAGTATGACACATTTCTGATCAGTTTCTACCCTCTAGGGTGGCAACAACCTGGTAGATCCATTATGGATTAGGTTTCTAAACTGTTTTGGTGTCATAAACCCCTTGAGTCTTCTAGTGAATCCAATGGACCTTGTCTCAGAATAATGTTTTAAAATGTATAGCAGAAAGAAGAGAAATTATATTGAAATACAGTTCTGGCATTTGACCCCTTCGGATTTTTCCAGCATTTCTACTCTGCCCACCTCTCCTCTCACGTCTACCAAATAGGCTTTCTTTACTTTATTCAGAAAGGTAAATGAGAGACACTCAAACAGCTCTGTAGATTATGGGGGTAACAGGGAGTATGAGATGGGCTACTGAGGAGGTGTTTTTGAGGTGACATCACTGTCTCCCTTCCTCTTCCTTTTCCCTTCCCTCTGAAAGCCTCCTCACTTCTCTAGCTCTTCCTTCCTTCCCCACATCAAGTCCAATTTTTCTCCTTTTACTTCTTGTCTATCCTCCTCACTCCTTGCTCAGTCCCGCCCACTTTTCTAGGCCCGCCCCTCCAGGGCCCCACCCTCAGGCCGCTCCTCCAGTCTAGGCCCCGCCTCCTCCTCAGTTTCCTGTCAATGACGCTGGGGCCGCTCGGTCGCCCCGCCCCGAGGCCCACAACAAGGGTGTCCGCGGCCTGTCCTCCAGGCGGAGGAGCCCGGACTGCGGAAGGATGGAGCTGGCCGCGGGCAGCTTCTCCGGGGAGCAGTTCCGGGAGGCCTGCGCCGAGCTCCAGCAGCCCGCTCTGGCCGGGGCCGACTGGCAGCTTCTAGTGGAGACCTCGGGCATCAGCATCTACCGGCTGCTGGACCAGGTAGCGGCCAACCCGCTGGAGCACCGCGGGGCCTAGAATGCGCCGGGGTCGACCTCCCCGCAGGGAGCGCGGGGCGGCAGTCGCGGAAGGGACAGGGGCGGGTCTTCTCCAGCTCAGGGAGGAGCTCCGCCCCGACCCTGTCTCAAGCCCTGGAGCTAGCGCAGGGGCGGTGCCTCCAAGTGACTGCGTGCAGATCCAGGGGAGTTGGAAAGTCATAGGAGTTCAGCCTCAGGTCAGGCCCCGTGGGGCATGTAGTTAGTTAGAAGTTAGTAACAGTTGAAACGTGGGTAAGCTGGTTCCTAGGCCCGTGCACACATCTGCAAGGGACGTTGATCCTCACTCTCCAATGCGTGGCATATGGGGGTCTGGGGGTGGGGGAGGGACGGTATCTTGGGGCTTGGATATAGGAGGAAAAGAAACAGAACTTTAAAAGGACTGGATGTGCAGGGTGGTGAGTGTCGGGGGTTACCGAGAAGGGCCCTGCTATTTTAGTGACTGGTTTCTTTTGGTTGTTGCCCCTTCCTTCCTAGTTGCACTTGGTAAGTTGAGTCCGAAGCTTCAGGCAGAAGGAGTAAAGATGTAGGAGAAATGGGATTGGTTGTTAAAGTCTTTGCAACCAGGTAGCCATCCAGGTGGAAGGCATTGCCTCTGAGGCCTGTCATCCAAGGCTTGTCATCAGTTGCTTTGTGTAAGAGTCGCAGCATGGCAAGTAGGTTAAAAGTCGCCTGCAGGCAATGTGGGTGAAATTGAAGTTTCTTAATGCAGGATCAGGGTATTATAGTGGTAGAGTTAGGAGGATACCTCATGCTCACCTGGTTAAACACCAAGTTTCATAGGTGAAAGCAACAGGCCTCGAGGGTAAAGTTACTCCTGAAAGGGCCCAGATAAATGAATACCAGAGGTGGGATTGGAGGGTTCATGATCTTGTGAATGTCAAACATGTGGTTGCCTTTTTAGGCAATTGCATTTTTGTTTACATCAAATATAGTATTTTTATCTTTTAAAACGGAAAACAAACGTTTGCAATATTTAGAAGTTGCTCACCTGTTAAACAGGAATGAAAACCTTGCTTGCCTCATTGCAGGGTTGTTAGGGGATTCAAATCCAATCTGTCAGATATGTGTGAAAATTTGATAGCTGTAGATAACTCTACAATGCACAGGATAGTGACCCCCTACCTCTCCCAGGGAAGAATTATCCAGTCCCAAATTGTAATATTGCCAAGGTTGAGAAATCCTACTCTAAATAAATGGAGAATATAGGTATTATGAAGAATTTTCTTGTCTAAATACATACATATTTCCTTTGGAGGCAGTCCGTCCCTCTCCAGTTAGTGGGACTATAAAACATGCTACTTTGAATACTTACAAATTAGTACGGCTGGCCTTTTCATAATCCAGAACACAGCAGATACTACAAGTGGATAAGTGCCGTATTTACTTTTTTTTCTGTATACAGATGTTATATCTTGATGGATTACTCACTCAAGAAACTCTGAATACTTGCTGTGTACAAGGACCATTGGGTATAACAAGATGATCAAGAGCTCACAATCTAGAAAAGACAGAATTAGTTTCTTAGTATAACTTTAAAAGGCACCTTAGTTTGAAAATTGATACATTTTCAGACAAAGTCTTTCTTTTATTTTTTATGTTTTAGAGATGAGGCCTTGCTATGTTGCCCAGGTTGGTCTTGAACTTCTGGGCTCAAGCAATCCTCCTGCCTTAGCCCTCAGCCTCCCAAAGTGGTAGGATTACAGGGATGAGTCGCCACACCCAGTCAGACAAAATTCTTTTATCTTCTCTGCTATTCCATTTTTCTTACCAGCCACATCAAGACTTTGGCCAAGTTTTGTTGATTCAACTGCTCAGACATATCTAGCATCTGACTTATTTCCTCCCATTTTCTTTTCTTTATCTTTGCAACTTTGGGTACTCAGCACCCCTCACTTAGAATTGCAGTGACCTCTTAACTAGTTTCTTGGCCTACCATCTCTCTGCTCTTGTCTATCCTACACCTTACAGTGCAATCAAACATCTGAGAAGCAGTGATCTTATCACTACCTTTTCAGTGGCCTATTGATTACAGAAATAGTAATAATCATCACTGTAATAGCTAACATTTATTGCGTGATTTCTTATAATTCAGGTGCTAAGTGTTTTGGAAGTATTGATTTACTCAATACTTGCATCAACTCTATGATAAGGTGCTATGATGATCACCTTTTTACCTATATGTAAATGATTGCATAGAAAGGTTAAGTTGGTTGCTCAAGATTCCAGCTAGGATCCAAGCCCAGCTGTCTGCCTCCAGTTCTGTGCCTTCAACATGCTCCTACATTGCCTCTCCAAACAGAAGGCAAATGCTGCCTGGTGGGTACACTGAACTAATTTGGTCTCAACTCACATTTCCATCATTCTCTTCCATTACTTGTCCATAGACCTGGCATCTTCTCCTCTAGCCAGCCCAGACCACTGTGCCATCTTCCCTGTATAAAGACAAGGCAGTTGAGGTCTAGGGAAAGTCAGTGACATATGCAAGGCACATGGCTAAGAAGTGGTGAATGAAACTGGGATTTAGATCCAAGTCCATCTGCCCATGAAGCCCCTACTCTTTGCCCAAGCCACACATGCTCTTTTTCTAATAAAGCTTCCCGCATGTGGGTTGGACCATTTTAGGAGGGTGAGTCCTCATTATTGGAGGTACAGTATTGTGTTGGAGAATAAAACTCAAACTGTGTTTTTTTCATTATCTCAACCTCACCGACAACACAGTAGCACAGAAGACTCCTGTGACCAAATGTCTGAGGATTTCTCCCCAAACACCAAGTAAGCAGTCAGTTGTGCAGTGGACATTACCTAGGTGTCCTCCTGTTCAGTGTTGACACTACCTACCTGGAAATAGTGTCAGATCCCATAGGTTGAGGTCCCAGTCCCACAAGATTAACCCCCTCTTCCCTGCCACTTGCAATGCTAGTTGAAAGCCCCAGGTTGTTTTACCTGTGCTTCTGACCAACTGGCTATAAATAGGGGATCCCATGGCCCTCTCCTTGGATTCAATTAATTTACTAGAGAGGCTGACAGAACTCAGGGAAACACTTGCTTGCGTTTACTGGTTTATTATAAAGGATATTACAAAGGATACAGATGCATAAGATGAGGTATGGGGGAAGGGTCTTGGAACTTCCATGCCCTCCTTGGATGCGTCACTCTGCAGGAACCTCTTTGAGTTCAGCTATCCAGAAACTCTCTGAACCCCGTCCTCTTGGGCCTTTTATGGAAACTTCATTGGCTAGGTATGACTGAAGCATGGACAACAGTGTTGAAATGTGACTGGACAGAAAGGGTCTGAGCTCATATTAATAGACTGATTGGGGAAAGCCAAGAAGGCCTGTCCAGATTCTTCAGGCCTCTCCATGCAGCATTCCTTCTTCCAGGGTATGGGGCAGGACCCTCCCTGGGATGAAGGTCTTACAACTCTTGGCTCAACTCCTGAGGCCTAAAATGCACCAACATACAAAAGACTATAGCAAGGGCTATGAAAGTTATGAACCAGGAACAGTGGATAGAAACCTATATGTGTGTGTGTGTGTGTGTATTGGATGTACAGTACTGGAGTATGTATGTGGGTATGTGTGTATACTCTATGTCCAATACACACACCCAACACATATGTATACACACATGTGTACATTATATATTTATATACACACATATATGTATAGGTATATATTTTATATATGTAGCTCATAATATCACAAGTACTGTATTCAGAAAGGAGACCAGAGACCATTTGTTTATATACTTCATTCAGCCTTTATTGAGGATCTGCAGTGGGTCAGATTTCCATCTATGGAAATGGATCTAAGATAGAGTTGCTCCCCTGAAGATTCTCGTGGCTTCGTTTTGAAGTTATGGGCATCGGCTGGACTGATGGTCCTTTAAGGACCCAATTGTGCATAGCATGCTTGCTACTGTGTGGTACGAGCTGGTTGTGATGACCCTTTGCTTTGCTTCCCACAGTCAGCATAGAGGTGGCCAACCTAAGGCCAAAGCTATGTGACTTCTTGGGGCTCTTGAACAGGATTTGAAACAAGGATAGAGAAAAAGAAAATTGTGACCATGATTTAAATGATGCTGTAACAAAGTTACTGTTATGTGTTTTTAAAAGACTGAAAGGAGTAGAGGCTCTTAAAAGAGATTTCAATGTAGCAAATTGTATTTTAAAATAAAAATAATAGAATTATATCCTTTATTTAGTAGACACAAATGATTCTGAATCCTGTTCTTGGACAAGTGGGCAATTTTGATGTACAACATTTGATGTACAAAATTTTGATAATTTTTTTTTGTTTTCTATTTTTCTATTAAATCACAAAGTTTTGGACTGGAAAGTTACTTCTAAGCCATGCTGCCCAACACCATCATCTTTTTCCTCTACTTCTCCTTTCTTTGCCTACTCTGTTTCCTTCCTCTCTTATTTCTTCTCCATATTGTAATGATAATAACTTTATTTGATGCTGCAAATTATAAATGCTGTCCTATAAGTTTTCATTTATCCTTCTAAACAGATGTGGAAGATAGGCAAGAACGGGCTTACTTTACAAATGGAAATAAGATTCAGAGTTGTTGAGCGAGCCACATAAGACCTCATAACTAGTAACTAACATGAACAGTCTACTATGATAAACTCAGTACTAAATACACAGCTTGCTTCAAGACAAGAACTACATTCTGTTTCCGGCAGCTAAAGCAAAACTAGACCAGGGCTGCCATGGGTATTGTGGGAAAAGCATGGATTTTGGAGTCAGATAGTCCTGTGTGAGACTTTCAGCTCTGTTCCTCTATCATTCATTCATTCATTTGGGAGATATTCATCAACTGCCTCCCATGTGCTACTGTCTTCGCAGACCCTGGGGATAAGTGGTGAAGGAGGAACGTGGTGCTGCTGCTTCAATGAATGAACTACTTGAACATGGATCATATTCATTGATGAGAATAAGCCCATAGTATATGATGAAATGTCCAGTGGGAAATACTATAATGTGCTTTAAAGAAAATGCTATAAAGAAAATAAAGCGAGATAAAGGGATAGAGAGATGGCATGGCAGGGTAGCCAGGGGTGATGTGATGTGTTTCAGATAAGGGAGTCCAGAAAGACTCCCTGTGGAGGTAACATTTGGCCAATTTGAATAATGCAAATATCTGGAGGAGAAATGAATCTGAGAGTGTT